TGGCATCTGCATGATAGGACTTGCTTTCCCCAAAGTTTTTCTCCTAGCAGGTTTTTCTAGCTAATTAAAATGGTACCACCTTTATACAAACATTTCAACTTCTGGTTTTCCAAAATGCACAAAATGGAATGTTAACAACACATTCTCTGCAGATTATAGTAAAGTTCGAGTATTACTGTATTCATGATGATTCAGGAAATGTTCAAGAGGCAAGGATTTTTTTGTGTTATCTTTTATTGGACCAACTGCATAGTTGAAAAAGTTGTTACGCTAGCTTCTAGACATCAAATGCATTTCTCAGGTCACCTCAGGAATGGCATTTGACACCCTCTCTGATTTAGTTAGTTTATGAGGTACAACTCTACAATGCCTTTTTGCCAATAAAATGTATCACAAAAAGTCCTCGCCTATGTGCATTACAGTTACCTACCATGTCTTGTTTTCCAGTCTGTATTAGTTAGCTAGATTTTTAGAACAATTACGTATCTTAATTTCTTCCCCACAAATTATGCATTTTTTGGAGCAGGGGAAACTCCCCTTCCACAATCCAGGATGTTTTTTCACTTTCAAAACTCTAAGAAATATTGCATCATTGAGATAATCATAATCTCTTAATGTGTAATATCCTAATCTCTCAATTTTTCATAGATTTCATAGACGTTAGGGCTGGGAAGGACCTTGAAGATCAAGTCCAGCCCTCTGCCCCGGAGGCAGGAAGTCAGCTAGGGTCAAAGAATCCCAGCAAGATAAGCATCCAAACATTTCTTGAATGAGTTCAGAGTAGATACCTGCACCACTTCTGGAGGGAGTCTATTCCAGGCCCTTGGGGCTCAGACAGTAAAGAAATATTTTCTTATGTCCAGCCTAAAATGGTCGTGGAAGAGTTTATGACTGTTGGTCCTTGTTTTTCCTTGGGGCACTCTGGTGAACAGATGTTCTCCCAGATCCTGATGTATACCCCTTATGTACTTATAAGCAGCCACCAGGTCCCCCCTGAGCCTGTGCTTTTCCAGGCTGAAGAGTCCCATGGCTCTCAGCCTCTCTTCATAAGACCTATTCTCTTGCCCTCTGGTCATGTGTGTGGCTCTCCTCTGGACTCTCTCAAGCTACTCAACATCCTTCTTGAATTGTGGAGCCCAAAATTGGATGCAGTACTCCAGCTGCGGCCTCACCAAGGCTGAGTACAGTGTGAGGATGACATCCTGAGATCTTCTTGAGAAGCATCTATAGATGCAAACCAGAGTTTTGTTTGCTTTACCAGCTGTGACATCACATTGGTGGCTCATGTTCATCTTGTGGTCAATCATGGCCCCAAGTCTCTTTCAGCAGTGGTGCTAGTGAGAGTAGCACTGCTGAGCCTATAAGCATGCTGTGGGTTTTTTTCCCCAAGGTGGAGTACCTTACATTTATCGGTATTGAATGCCATCAGGTTTCTATCCGCCCACTTACTAAGTTTATCCAAGTCAGCCTGGATCACTAGCCTGTCCTCAGCTTTGGATGCTATGCCCCAAAGTTTAGTGTCATCGGTGAACTTAGCCAGCGCGCTTCTGACACCAATGTCCACATCATTGATAAAGATGTTAAAGAGAACCAGTCCAAGGACAGAGCCTTGGGGAATGCCACTGGTCACGGAGTGCCATAATGATTTGCCACCATTGACCACTACTCTCTGGGTCCGACCTTGGAGCCAATTTCCCAGCTATCAGACTGTGGTGTAGCTGAGGCCATAGTTGGCCAATTTTTCCATGGGGAGGTCATGGGACACCAGATCAAAGGCTTTTTTAAATTCCAGATACATGATGTCAGTCTCTTCTCCCTTGTCCAGGTGATATGTCACCTGGTCATAGAAGGAGATGAGATTGTTCAGGCAAGACCTACTCGCAACAAACCCATGCTGGCTCTCTCTCAGGATGTTGCCCTCAGCCAGTTTATCCAGAAGGGTTTCCTTGATAATTTTCTCCAGAATTTTACTGGGGATTCAAGCTGATTGGCCTGTAATTCCTGGGATCTACTTTCTGCTTTTTCTTTAAGATGGGTACCACATTGACCCTCTTCCAGTCTTCAGGTACTTCACCTGAGTGCGAGTTTTTGAATATTTTTGCAAATGGTTGGGCTATGACACCTGCTAGCTCCTTGAGTACTCTAGGGTGTAATCTGTCAGGACCAGCTGACTTGAAGGTGTCCAGCCTCTCAAGGTGATCCTTTACTAGATCAACACCGATGCAGGGTATAAATATACCTTCACCCTGGCCGTCCCACAACTTGCTAGGCAGGGCGGTCCCATTGGACTGATGAAAGACTGACATGAAGTACCCATTAAGCAGATTGGCTTTTTCCTGGGTGTCGGTTATCAGCTATCCTCAGCAGGGGTCCAATGTTGCCCTTGCTTTTTTTCTGACTCCCTACATATCTGAGAAAGGACTTTTTGTTATCTTTGATATGTGAAGCCGGATGGAGCTCGGTTGCAGCCTTGGCTTTCCTGATCCACTCCCTGCAGGTATGGACCAGTGCTGAGTACTCCTCCTTGGTGGTAATTCCAGCCTTTATAAGTCTCTCTTTTGAGGCACAGGAGGTCCTCAAGTTCCCTGCTGAGCCAAGGGCATTGCTGTGCCCTTTTGCTACCCTTCTTCTGAGATGGGATGGCCATCCCTTGTGCCGTCAGGATCGCTCTCAGCAACCACTCCTCTTGGCCTCCTCTTCCTGTTGAGTTGTGGTCCCTTAGGGCCTTCACAAGCCTAGGTCATCCCCTTTGGCCAGTACCAGGTCTAGTAACGCTTTACCTCTTGTCAGCCCATACACTTCTTGAGTCAGGTAGAGCTCATCCACACACCTGAGGAAGCTTTGTGACTGATCAGATTTGACCAACTGCCCTTCCATGAGATGTTCGGGTACTTAAAGTCTCCCATGACAACCATGCACTGAGAGCATGCAGCCTCAGCCAGTTCCCTGGTGAATTCCTGGTCCAGCTCTTGTTTCTGGTTAGGAGGTCTGTAGTACACTCCTACCATGATGTCCCCTGTGCCACATTCCCCATGTATTTTAACCCAGAGAGACTCCACTCTTCCCTCCTGGGTGCCAATGTCAATGCAGGGTGCCAATGTCAATTTGCAGGGATGTGTAGCTGTCCTTGACAGAGAGAGCTACACCCCCACCCCTTTTATCTGCACGATCTTGCCTGTACAGGATATAGCCATCTATATCTGTGGCCCAGTCAAATGTGGAGTCCCACCAGGTCTCCATTATCCCTATGATGTCATTCTTGTTTCACAGGAGGACCAGTTCCTCCTGTTTATTTCCCAAGTTCCTGGCATTGGTGTACAGGCAGATAAGTGTCCCATTGAGGGCCCCTGCCTTCCCTACAGATCATTCCAGGGCTGGGGTAGGGGTGGGTTCCTTTAAGTGCCTTAGCCTGCTGGATTTACAAAGGTTGCCCAATGGGCTTGCAGTGGTGGTAATCCCAACAACCCCCGGTGGGCTTAAAGCTTGGTTGAGCAGGTCAGGCAGTCTGGCTGAGAAGAGCCTCCTCCGCAGCGGAGTGAGGTGGAGGCCATCTCTCCCCAGCAGCCCACTGCCTCTCTCACCAAAGAGCAGACTGTGATTGTGGAAGCCGAAGCCTTCATGATGACATCCATGCCACAGTCTCTGGTTGACTACCTCGACCTGTCTCTCCCTCCTCAGCCTATGACCCACAACTGGGAGGAGCGAGGAAAAGATTACCTGTGCCTCTAACCCCCACTCCCAGAGCCCTGTAGTCTCTCATGACCTGGCTGGAATTGCTCCAAGTCATGTCATTCATGCCCATATGGATAAGGAGCGTAGGGTAGTGGTCAGAGGGCTAGATATTCTTTGGGATCCTCTCTGCTATGTCCCAGATGTGGGCCCCAGGGAAGTAGCAGACCTCCTGGGCTAGGGGCTTGGGGTGGCTGATTGCTCCCTCAGTCCCTCTCAGGAGGGAGTCTCCCATGATGACCACTCTGTGTTTTGTCTTAGGGAGAGCAGGGATGGATGATCCTCCCTTGCCTGCAGAAGCTGCAAGGGCTGCAAGAGGTTCGTACCTGTTGCAAAGCCCCAGAGGGGAGGGGACCTTAGTGCAGTGGGCCTTGGGACCCTTGACCACCTTGGTCCAACCCCCTGGCTGGACAGTATGGAAGATCCCCAAGTCCTCCCTTGTCCTGGAAGGTGACCTTGGTCTATCCTCTGCCTCCAGGGGGTGAAGGGTCTGGCAGTAGGAGTCCATCTCCTGCTCGCCCTCCCTGATGGCATGCAGTCTTTGGACTGCAGCCTGGAACTCCTCTATCTGGTGCCCCAGAGACTCCAAAGTGGAGCAAACCTCACAAGGGGAGGTGGCCATGCTCCTGGTCCCATGAGCCTGGAAACATGCCAGGCAGCCCCTGCAGCCGAGAGCCAGAGGCTCCATCTGCATGGAACCTGGAACTATTGGTTCCGTCTTGGTGGAGGGTTCTGACGTGCCAGAGGGGGAGGCTGCAGACTCCAAGGGGACCCTCAGGGTGCCCATCTGCATTGCGTGTGCCCATCCGCATCATGCCGCTGGTAGGTCAGCTACTGATGGGACTGCCTTTCCTAGGGCTTACTGGCAGGGCCTCAGGCCCTCCCGCTCACCCTCCTGTGCAAACTCCCATGCTAAACTCATGTGCCGGGCCCAGAAGTGCACCTGTTTGCACGGCCTGTTCGCAAGGCTCTGGTCACTTGGGGAGCTGGGCCAAGTAGGAGCTGAGGTGGGGTGAGACCCTCCTTGGCTCCTTTCAGCTGCCTCCCCGCAGCTGAACTGCACTAGTCCCCTCCCACCACAGGCCCCGCTTACCTCCAGCTGTGCTAGGGGTCAGCGGGGGCACTCTGTGGCTGTTGGGGGTCACTGGGGGGCTTCGGGGTGTGGGGGCATGGGGGTGCAAGGGGCTTTCTTCTGTGCATCTTGCACTGCTCCCTAAACCCAACTCTTAATTTTTAATTTCCTAATCTCTCCATTTTTTTCTTTTTTAAAGAGAAGGAGGAGTCCAGTGAAAAGGAGAAGAAAACACAGATACTTTTAAAAGGCCGTAGTACCAGTCTACAAGCCTCAGATAAAAATAAAGAACAATTTGAAGCAACATCCATGCCAGGTAATATCCATTCATTATAAACTGGAATGGCAAATCAAAATGCTGTCTGCAATGTTTCCAGTTTTACCTCTTAGTATAATGATCCCGAATTTCTTTCATTTCAGCTTTTCCCCATTAAACGTTTTACAAATGACCCACTACCTATACGCCATCAACTGATTTTATATTAAATCATAGTATGCTGCACCCAAACAACATTAAGGGTAATGATTTCAGTTTGCTTTGAACTGTGCTCCAAAATTGTACCTGGAAGTTTTGCATTGACAGACCAGCTAAACAGCGCAACCTTAGGCCCAGAACCCAGATGTCCCTGAAACTGGTGCCAAGAATCAGCTGATTGTCAGCATCAGCTCTGGGGCAACTCAAAGGCAGGTTTGAGACTTGGGGTTGCCCCATGTCTGTGGTGACAAGATTGTTGGCCCTGCCTGTGGGAAACCTGGAACTATTCAAGGCTGATTGCATCAATCAGCTGATTATCAGGCATACATCCTGGACAGCCCCAGTGTGTGGACAATACATGTTCAAAAGGCACCATACAAACCAGCCATAAAATGCATGATGAGTGGTTTGCCACCTTCTGGTACCTTAATTTAGGTGCATATATAACACCCTTGTCATTTATGGAAAGATTAACAAAATCGCAACCTAAATGTAGTGTGTAGAGGGGACTTGAGAGACGCACTTAGACTGTTAACCTCTTTTCTCTTTAACAGAGCCTCAAAGTGTGTCAGAAAAAGTGGACATAAAAAATCCCAAAATATATGCATTTTTTAAAAAGAATGAAGGTAAATATGAGCTTTTTTGTTTTAAAAATGAGTAGCTACCCTTGCAAACCAAAAAGTTAGTGTTGACAGACAATACAAATTTGTTCTTCTTTGCCATTCCCACAAAATGTACATTAGTTTAATTAAACCAAATCTTACCTAATGCAACCAGGCTATAATGTCAGCTTTGTTGTCCCGTATTTATTAATTTAGTAAGCTACTGCTAACCTCATTCTATTTTTAAAAACTTGATTTATGCCTTTCAATTGGGTTTTTATTCAGCTAAAATGTATTGTGTGTGTTCAGCTGACAGACAGCAAATATTTTTCAATGGCTATGGCAATTTGCTTGCAAAGCATCAATTAGAAAATTAACAGAGAGAGTTTGTTGTTGTTGAACTGGTTAGATTACAATAAACCTGTCATAAAGAAAGGCACGATAAAACAGAACTAAATAGTGCACACAAACTATGGTTACTTTTCTAAATTTAAGTTTGCAAACCAAACTGCATAACTTTGGTTTCAGAAACAACAAAATTTGATTTAAACAAATCACAAGAAAATAAGCTGAGGAAAAGCAGGGGCAACACTGGACCCCTACTGAACCAGATGGGGCAACTGACAACTGACGCCCAGGAAAAAGCCAATCTATTAAATAGGTACTTTGCGTCGGTCTTTCATCAGTCCCATGGGA